ATGGTCCCGGCACCAGCCTGAGGCTGACTCTGTATTTCCATGGACTGAAAACCAAGTAATCTGGACTATGTCAATAATGAATTTTGTATGAAGATGCTTTCGACACTTTAGTGCTTGAATATAAAATAAGAGTAGCATATGAAATGAAAGGACGTTAAATAACACTGGGTAGTGCCAAAGTAAAGCTGAAAGTAGGAGTCTTAAAAGCGATATTAACTGATAGTTACGATGTCCCCACTACTGCATAGCCATTTAAACTTCATAAATTCTGTGTAAGAATCATAGAGAAGAGAGCAAAAGTAAATTAGTTCTATTCGGCCGTACTTTGCCTGAGGGAGCCACCAAGCTGTCAGCAGTACCTCAAGTGCAAGTTAAACGCTCTGAAAAAATCGAAATTAGCGTTTAACCAAAGTAGGGTGTGATCCTTTAAAAACAATTCGAAATTGATAGACGTTTTTAAATATCACAATTTTAGCAAATGTGGCTTTGTTAGCTTGATATTAATCTGAGATAGGTTATGAGTTTTACATTCGTTTAATTGGGACTTGTTGATACTCTAGGTTTTATAATTGTGTCAAATTTTCTTTAGTCACGGAAGAAGTTTTCAAATGAGCTTTCATCATGCCGGTAAAAATATCCAGAGTAACTACTTGCGCGCCGATCATAAGACTAGATAATAGTGAAAATACTCATAAATAATAATCTAAAATGAACGGAAGAATAGCTAATAGTAAATTAGATAAGATGTGCATAAAAATAATTCAAACAAACGTAAAATCTCACATCCTTGGTACGGCTATATTGGTATGGAATATATCACAAAGAGCTAGCTAGAGTAAAATAAACGGTTTAAAAAAAGAATGTATTGTTCTGGTTTGAATCTAATTAACCTTTTTGCGAGCTAAAAAAACAATAGACAATAACTTTTGGGAAAAATAATAAAAAAGCCCAATCAAAAGTTGAAGACCACTTACAGTAGCACAGGCTAATGAGCTAATACTGATACAGCACTCGCGTTGTGTAGTAAGAATTTCCTTCTTAAATTCTACAATGTTGTTTTGAGTCCATAAGCTAGCTGGAATGAGAGGTAGAGCTGTAGGAATGTCCTCTCCGTCGTCATCGTCTTCATCGTCGAAATCACTTCCATCTTCATCCTCTACTTCTGGCTTCTCTGTCCCATTCTCTTTGCGTGCCTGCGAATCACCATCATGGGGCGGTGACTCCTGCGAGCAGGACTTTATCTGAGATATGTCCTCAGATAAGTCTGAAGCATTAACGGCCGTGATAACTTTAGATGAGCTCGATTGATCTATGAAGAATAGTGAATTAATAGTGAAAAATGAGACAGGAGCAGGATTGAAAAACAACAGCATAGTTTAGAGTGATTAGCCAAAGTTAAAATTTTCGCCTATGTGGATACAATCAATGATCACATATAATCAAACAAATATTAATAGTTTATGTACAAGAAGGTTTTTGTCTTTTACGGTAATCAAATTACAATAGAAGAGGATTTTAATGCAAATATAAAACAACATTTATAATAAAAAACTATTACTTATGGAATGCTAGTGAGCCCCAGCAAAAAAGCTATTCCAAAGGGCGATAAGCCGGAATGATTTAAGCTAATAATCACTCACGATAGATAGATTTACAATGTTGATGGAGCATTTACACTTAAATCTAAGAAAGTATGGCTTCAAATAATTAAACTTCAGAATAAAAATAAGTTTAATAATGTACAAAACATATAAATGCTAACGAAAAAGTTTATTAGCAGCAGACATAGAAGAGAAGGCCTTAGGAAAAAAGTTATCACAAACTCCAAATTATGAGATAAATACCAGACGGATATGATAAATATAGTTTAGTAGAGAAATGAAGAATCTATTCCGAAAGAGAATATATGAAATTTTCAGTATACCCTTAAAGGCCGCTTCAATGGGACGATAGCACAACGACTTATCCTTATGTCAAGTGAAGTATCAAGTGTGTATAAATGATTTAAATACTTTTTTACCCGAATCTAATTATTTCATAGAAAGATTAACTTGCATTGCTTTTAAACGAAGATATGAAGACCAAGAATATTGTGGCCAATATTTTGGTCTCAGTCTCCTCTTGATGTAGAATAGGTGTTTGATCTTGTTTTCGCAACCTGATCATATTGGCAGCAAAGCCTAGAGGAACGCACCTCGTGGAGAATCCATAGTATGCATGATAATCTCCAGAGTCGGATCGTAAACTTGATACATTCCCAGACGTTTCATCGGCACCGTCTGTGAGTAATGCCATTCTCAGCACCAAGCTACAACTCGTCAAAGAGACAAGTGGAGTCAATCCCATGACCATCTTTCTGTCGAAGCGGTTGTGCTACAACGAAAGGAGACCGCGACCATACAAAAGGCCACACCATTCTGGTCTTTATATCTTCTATTAAACTATGGAAGTAAGATTGTCAAATAATGCACCGATTACAGCCGAATAAGAACAATTGTAAGTCAATTATTCCATTTGACCTTTTAAGACTGTTGTAAACGTTATGGTATAACTCCAGGATTTTGTAGCTTTAAGAAACATTTCCATCCAGATAAGGTTAATGAGATACTTCGCCAGGCCTCCTTGTATAAGTTAAATGAAACCTATGGAATAGGAAGGAATAAGCTATTGACTTGTATAGATGTTAAGTAAAAGTTCCGGCGTGATCTGACTAGGATTCTGTCTCGGGAGGGTTTTCACAAACTCCAAAGTTTGGTCGAAAATAAATCACGTAGGATCTCCGGCATAAAAACAGAAAAAAACGACAATAAATTGCTTAGGTATGGAATTATAAGACAACTAAGGTTAAAGCCGGCGCGCCCAATTGGAGTCTTTAAGGCGACGACACCTACTGATCAGTAAGACGAACGGAACAAGCTGGTGAATGTATCTTCGCTTCTTCTTGATCCTGAAACCACTACGATCCTGAAGAAATGACTAGAAGACATTTTGGGAAAGGTCATCAATATCTCCGACAAGATCCATGAGGGGACAAAACGGGAAATGGAGATGGAAATAAGGCCTAGAATCTTGAAACATTATGAACCAGCATACATGAAGAGATTTGCGAGAATAGGAAGAACCATAAAAAGGAATGAACAATTGGTCCTTTAGGCGGACAGAGCGACAGGCCTAATGAACAGGAAGCAATGTACCGAGAAAATAGAATGTATAATGAAAAACAAGACTACGTATCGTGTATTAAAGAAGAACCGAACTATGAAGATCAATGGAATCTTATGCGGCAAAATAAAAAATATGTGTAGGAACGGGGAGATCAATGGAAGACAAAAAATTTACTAATAAAAAAGACACACGACCACCAACAGCCTACAAGTTAGCGAAGTTACATAAAGGTGAAACACTAAGGCTGATAGTTAACAACAAGTATGGAGTAACATACAAATGAGCAAAGTTCATATGTCTGAAACTCAGGAAGATAAAAGAGAGAAAACCAAACACAATGAAACACTTATATAAATTCGCTTAAAGGATCGAAAACATTACATTGGAGGAAACAGAATTACTATGAAGTTTTGATGTACACTCTATGTACACAGACATTTCTGGAGAAAAGACGCTAATAGCCCTGGTAGAAATTTTGGATCAAGAAGAGGATATTCTAGAAGCAGAGTATAAGACGGGAGTCGTTAACATGACTAATAAACGTGATATTAAGTACTACCTACTTCACATTCAATAGCAACATCTATGAACAGACATTTAGACTTACGATGAAATCACCGCTCTCATCTTTATTGGCAAATGTCTACATAAACAAATAAGAAAATAATTTCAAGACGTCACCGCTGCAACCAAGACTTCTTATGCGGTACCTGAATGACGACTTTTCAATATGGTCGCATAAAGAGAAAAATAGGAAGATTTCCTAAAGTTTATGAATCGGATTGACGAAAGAATCAAGTTTACAATAAATGTAGAGGAAGAGGGGCGTTTGGCTTTTCTAGAGGTGGAGGTCATTCACTCTACTGAGACACTCAAGAGGAAATTGTTCTAAAAGAAGTCATATGTCGGAATAATACTGACGTGGAATTCTGGGATTAAGAACAGGAAACTGTGACTTAT